AGAACCGTGAGATTCCAGACGGTTTCTTTTGTTCCCGGTTCCCTGGGTGGCGTCTCGTATTCCGAGCAGGATTTACCGCAATGACGTAATTAATAGAATCTAAAGAGATTTTAAGTTTCGCTCCCTTCGCACCCTACGGCGTCGCCGCACGTACGCATGTCTTTGTTTGGGAAAATTGAGGCTTAAGTCGTGATTTCAATTCAGCGTCAAGTTTCGCCTCGCTGCCTCGGTTACGTAACTTTGTTTCGTTTTCCCGAATGACAGATTGCGGGAGGAACTGGATGACTAGGTAGGATAATGGAAGACGGATTGGCTGCCGGCATCCGACAATTTCCCTATACATCCCTTTGACGAGTATTTGACTAAATGCTCGCGCAAAGGTATTTCCTCGATAATATCGCTAGCCAATTGTCGAGGACAAATACCGTTAATAGCACGCCCGTGCATTGTACGCGGCGCTCCACGCATGCGGCATGCCGAAATTCAAAAGTCACGCGTTCTGGTATTTGCATACTGTATTTGGAATTGCCTCGGTCAGTATAATAACGGGCGGAAGTAGCCTCGTGGGGATTCAAACTAATTTGACCCTTTTGTTTAACCTGCGACGCGGAGGATGCGAGGATCAAAATCTGCGCGTTGTTTAAATTTCAGATAATCCTACCCCGAGTTTTCAAAGTGTATTCGCGTACACGGCTCTGAATTGCGCCTGCATCCCGGAATCTAAATCAGGATATAAATGTAACAGCACTACTTGGGGCCATCTCCGCGGGATGACTAAAATGATGAGAAATTGGGCGACGCGCGTGAATTTATGGCGGACATTAGAGCCGGAAATGTGGCCGTCTGCTGTTTTTCAGGGCCCAAGGAAACGCGGTGCGCGATATCGGCATGCGGATCCTTTAAAATTACTGTTATTATGATATATACGTAGAACATTTTTGAATCGTTCCAAATTATGAGACGGAACGAAATCGGATTGCACACTCGAAATATAAATCACGATCCTCTTAATCCCAATTTATGCGAAAAGTCTTTTGTTTTACGATCAACATAAAGAATCTCCTTTGCACCCTATTTGATAGATTGCTTCTTTTCGCGTAGTTTTTAATACTACACAGAGAGAATCGTGTAATCGTGGGGCAGCATGGCATTTCAGAGAATTTTATGAGAGTTTTTTTAAGTTTTACCATACATTCCCACTGGCAATTGTACTTAGTATACATTTTGTTAGTAGAATGTGTGGTAAAATTTTAAAAAACTCTCATACAGTTCTTCAAAATGCCACGTTATCCCACGATTACATGATTTGCAGGGTAAATTCGAGGGGGAAACCGATAACCAAAATCTTATACTTTATCTTATTATCTTATTTTATCTCTATAATGCCCCAGCAAGGCCTAATGCCCAAAAAATGCCTAGTAATCCCTAGTAACGCCCAGTAATGTCGTAAATCTGTACACCGTAATGCCCTCAGCGGTTTCCTCCCCGGGTAAATTTTAAGAGAAAATTCACTCCGTGTATCTAGCAAGAGAATTGATTCTTGATTTGTCTGATGTAAGATTGGTATAAATGTCATATAATATTTTAATATGGAGCTTTCGTAATCGGCAAGAAAATTTGGAATATTGAGGGCCAATATTAACGTAGCAACTTATTAAGTTTATGATGAGCACAAGTCTTCCCGTTGCAAGAAAAATGCATAGAAACGACGACTATAAATCTGTTAATATTTGATATTTAAAGAGGATAAAAATTTAAAAAGAGGAATACATGAATTATAAATACATAAACTGTAATAAATTCTAATTAATTAAGCTCACAGATTATAATATGTATGAGAAAACCATTAATCAATTCAAACTATAATATATATGAACAGTTATTAATCAAATCGCGTTACATTATTCATAGAAAGTGTTCATTACATTCAAGTATTCATTACATTAAAGATTAAAACGATATTTAATATAACCATAAACATGTAAGCGATAAAACGCCTCGCAGTTTCTATACAGTATCCTTTTTATTCGATTATTAAAAGAGAGTCGATTGTTCTTTTATTCGGCTTATTATTAATAAAAGAAAAGTCTTGACGGGAAATGTGTATAGCGTCAAAGTACTTATCGTAGACCCATTGAGTTTCCATTGAAATGTTTCAATATGATTTGTAGCAAGTCAGTGCACAACTGGCAATGAACACTGAAAGCTCTCGTTTTATATCCGTGAAACGTGAATATCACCTTAAACGTCCAGAGCGTGACTGCTTTACAATATGAATCAGCCAGAAAGTTCTGATGGTTTATGTTTGATGAAATCGACTTCGAATGAGAGAGTTCGTGTATATCATATTACAGTATTTCCTTACTCATCTTTTTTATTTTTACACGAAATGATTAAGCATTCAATTGGACAGAAGCGCAGACAGCTTAGATTCGTTTTTTTTATTCATGCAACTTTTTTTAAATAAATAAAATCACGAGAATAAACGCCGTATCATACTTCGAATGAGAATTTTTATCCCATACACAGAGAGAAAAAAGTACGTAGTATTTGCGACTATAATTGCATAGTAAAATAATTATAGTCAGGAATATCATTTTTATAGTAATTATCACTATAATATTAGTAATAACAACCACATAGTCATAGTGACGCCAACCAGCATAAAAATTTTACTATTATTTACGAAGCTTTTAACCATTATTCTGGTAAAATATTAAAATGGTGAATAGTAACTAAATTAATTAGTTTTACATATATAGTAGGTGCAAGTACAATAATAGTAAATTTAATTATACTTTCTATCATCCACTTTACTATTCGCATGGTAAACAAAAGTGAAGTGATTCGGAATGTCTTCACTAGAGGGACGCGCGGTACAAGACTCTCTCGTAAGTAAAAAACCGCTTAGGGTGTTATAAACACGGATAAGTTTACGCATTCGTATAAGATTACTTATCTTTTCTTTGAAAGATGCTATCTTGTACTATTCTTTATGAGTACAAAGTGATTTAACCAATGAACGTAGTGAACGCAATGTATTGTATTACTTTCAATATAAATACGATTATTACTGTTACATATAGTTATTTGAAATTTTACTTGTGGTTGTTATTGCAATATTTATAGTACACCTTACCAAATTAAAAGCTCGTTTTGGTTTATGACAACCATATCGTAAGTTGCATGGACCAATATAGTGTCTATGAGAACTATAATACATTGTTAGGTCAACCATAACTTACGTAGTTAGAAGAATTATAAAAATATGGTTGGGTCCAGAAATGACTATAAATTATAGTGAGATTGTGATAACTGCAACTATTTTTTTCTCTCTGTGTATCATGACTGTAAATATTTCCTTATTCATCCTTTTTTACTTTTACACAAAACGATTAAGTATTAAATTGAAAAAAACCTTGGAAACTTTGATTCATTTTTTCAATTCATCTTTACCTTTCTTTCAGAATAAATTCAATTATAGGAAGAAACAACGGGTCCCGATTTTTCGGAGCTACCGTTGCCTTAGAAAGCGTCGGAGAATATTTTAAAAAAACATCTTGGCAAACTAAACGATATTTGATATGTGTATAACACGTGTGAAATTTGAATGTTAAAATTAACTAAAGCAGGGCAATAGCAGGCCAATTTATGAGCCAGGAACCAGTCTTCGATTATATACAAAGTGGTTTAGTAAATAAGATCGATTGAACGAAAGCGTTCATCGATTAACACGTGAATTTGCTGAGGACAATATTCCGTCTAACGAAACTGTGTTACGTCCGAAAAGAAACCGGCGCACAAGACAGATGGAAAAACGGTATATGAATTCACATAATAAGATTTGAATTATTGGGCTGCCTACATCCCGCTTGGACCTACATGGCATTCTCGTTGGTTGTTTGATAAAAACTAAATATATGCTTAAACGTTTTTCAACTTGACTGAACCTTCATCAGCTCCTCTCATATGTAAAAAAGGTACACGTTAAATAAGTCAAAGGTAAAAACCCAATTCACCTAAGGACACGGTACAGTCGCACATTTAACTTAATACAAATAAAATTAATTAAAGAAACGGCTCGGCGTGAAATGTAAAAGTAGCGCAACTTCCTTGCTTAGCGGCCAGTAACGCAATTTACTGAAGTCGGGGAGAATTGTCTAATATCACTTCACGCATTTTGAATTTAATTCAATCGCAACGTAATCCTGCGCGAGTGTCAGATTTAATCTCAAGAGCCAACCGAGACCGTGTCTTTAAAGATCTTCTTCGCTTTCAGGAATGGAAATGTTGGTTTATCTCGGGAGAAATAAAATTATCTCCCTCGCTTAATTTTTCTGAGAGTCCCGATTATTCCGGGCGTTAAGAAGCGCGACTTCCCACCAGTTTGCGTCATACAAGGGAAAGGGCGGAACAGTTGGTTTGCGGGGAAAATTGCTGTCACTTTACCCGCGCGTAACTGAATGCAGCGAGATTAACGTGACGCAAAATAAAAGACGCCCGGTGGCCTTTGAGCGACCGCGTTATCTCGAAAATATCGTTGGAAGAGTATTACGACACCCCCTCGCGGGATATCGAATTTAAGTTCGCCCATTCGCGTTCGCCGCACGCAAACGCCCCGTTCGATGATGTTTTTCTCGCGTCCCCGCGCGACGCACGGGAGAAAAACCTCGCGCGTAACCCATCTGCGCGCGGGATCGTGAAAAACAATACCTGCCGCACACGACGCACTCGACGCGCGTTAGCGCGGCCGGCCGCCGCTCCGGGGGCCGCCTCTCCGCTTTCACCCCCTACGAGAGCGATCGATCGTCGATCGCCGGATCCGTAACGCGATCCGCGCGGGCGGACCGGATACGCGGCGGCGAGCGGCGAAACCCGCGAGGGAGCCTCGCGGCGCGCACGCAAATCCTCCTGGACAAAGTCGGCGGGACGCGCGAAACGGTATCAATCAAGATCACCCGACGTCGCGGGCGATACGATCACTCGCGCGGCACACATACCTCTTATGCAATCACAGAGAGAGATCACCGATAGATAGATAGATCCTTTCGGTCGGCACTGTATCTCACACACACTCGTGGCGGGTGGGAAGAGGGGGTTGGGTGGAAAGGGGTTGCCCGGTTGCGTCCGTCACCACTGCCGCGTCCGTCCGCGGTTTCGCCACGGCGAGGGATAATCACTTTACTATACGCGTGCACTCGTAGCGTAATTACAATAAACGAGAGAACGCCGGACGTGCGCGCGTCCAACAGAGAGGCGCCCGGCTCTATCGCGGAGCGGAACGTGGTGTCGCGCGGTGCGCCCACCGTAGACTGGCGCCCGCTCGTTCGTCTGACTCGTCGCTGACTCTCCCTACTGCCTGGTCGGCTGAATGGAGCGCCCCGGCGCGAGGCGACCGCCGGCTGGATGGTGGCGAGCGCGGTGCCGACTGGCCCGTGGAGCAACCCTTCCTCGGCGACACCTTACCGGGTGGCCCCGGTGTTTACGCGTGCCCCTCTTACCCCCCCCCCTCCCCTCCTCCCCCGCCCGACGCAATTTGTTCTTATTATACGCACCGGAAGTCTCGGGGGACGCTCAACGGACGCGCTTCCCCTCCCGTCCCCGCCCCGAAATCCGGGGGTGATTTCGCCGGACGATTTTTCGCAAGCGGCGACTTAATTGCGCGCGACTCCTTCGTCGCGGAATTTTTGACGCTAAAAACATATATCCCTAATTAAGAGTTGGTTTGAAATTCCGCGCACGTAAAGCACGTATTCTTAATTAAACGCGAAGCTTTTTGCCTGTTTGTATTCTTGAAATTCGAGTCGTCGGGGAAAATGTTTAATTAATAACGCGGAGTAATTTCGCGGGAATGAATTGTGTAATTTAATTTTTCGGAAAGGCAACGGCCGATTGCAAATGTACCGTCGAATTTATTTCGTGCGAGCCATTTTAAATCTTACAAAATATGCCCGAGGATCGTCAACGCGTTCATCGCCACCGAGCCTCCCGTTTGCATCTTGTTGACGATTGTCCTAACAAGTTATAAATTTATTCCTTCTAAATCAGGTGCTTGATTGTTCCTTTTAACGTGAAATAATTTTATTGGCGAAAACTCAGCCGAAACCCGCTCGGCGGTGAATGTGTTAACTACTGTTTCTGTTATTGAGAGAAGAGACAACGTTATTTTCGGATACACGAATAATAAATGTGTTGTTAGAAGGAAAGACCGATCGTAAGAAGCCGGGATTGAACGAACGCCGGTAACGGCGAATAAAAGAAATAAATTTTCTACAAATTTCAACGACCGTCCCGAACCGATTCGAAGCACGACTTCTAGACGACTCCGGGAATAACCGATACTTATTCTTGATCTTCGAGGTGAAAAACAAAGCCCGACTCAAAGTGTCCGGATTACTTATTTATGTTATCACCTGTGTACAAATTCGTCGACAATATTTTCAAACGTTTGGATCGCACCTATTACTAAATTACTAATAGAGGAAAGTCCCCTATTATGAGATAGGCTCCTAACGTCCAACTTCACAAATCTTTTTCGCGACAATTACACGCACGACCTAACAATGAATTTTCCACTAAACAGACTTCACTCCGAGAGCAATAAATACGTGGTGGAAACAACAGATGATGCTTCTATTAATTTAGCAGAAACCCCGCTCTCTCATATTAAGAGCCTACCTCATAATAGGGGACTCTTCTCTACTTAATATTCCTACAATGGAATACGTTGGAAGACTGTTGTATTCTTCCGACAGAACACAATTTTATACTTGCGAAACGTATTCTTGTAGAAAATATCGCGCGCGTGGTTTTAGCTTGTCGCTTAATTGTTTTCGCTTATACTTGGCGCGAGACACTACCGTGTCTCGTGATCTAATAGGATAGTTTGACTACAATACCATATACGGCTCGACTTTTCATATTTTTTATTGAGCAAAAGACTCGTCTGCGAACGATTGAATTTAAGTGTGGAATATAATTTATTGCACAATAAACAACAGTTTATTCTCTATGATAGAGAGAAATTCTTATTCTGTGATTAATCTCACTGTAATTTTTAAACCGAGAGTGAAACATATTGAATAGGTTGTAATTATTTTGTTACATACGTCATTTAAATATAATTTTATAACGACGCATAATGAATACATATCACAGACAATTTACATTTCAAAGTACTGGCGATCGTATATTAAATTATGCGTGCACGTCACTATCCTTGCTCATTTTTTCTCATTAAATTTATTAATCATTCTTCAAGCTTCTCTGACGTTAATGAGTAACTGATAAACATCAGTACTTATGAGGTATACATTTACTACGTTAAGAGGTACTTATGCGACTTAGCATAGAACGTATACGTATACTGCGGTATTAAATTTATCAAGTCCGTAAGACGTTGATACATATAATATATAGGATTAGAAATTATATATATATATGCCGCGGTTAATTCTGGCTCCTCATAATGTACATTCAGTCTGTTGCTTAGTCCGCGACTCGCGTTAATTTTTCATCTTGAATATTTAGCTGTCTGTTTCGTGTCAGTCAAAGTCCTTGTTATACCGTTATACCTTGATAACTGCACCTTCATTACTGCGATAAGCTTTGTTGGGGGGGTCTGCTTGATTGCCTTGAAATTCTTTGCCTTCAGCTCGCGAGACCGACTACATTTTCGAACGAAAGTGATTGTCGGTTGAGCGTGCAACGTGACATGGTTAGTGACATCGTTATCGATTACCGAGCAATATCTGTCGTAGTGCTGCTTCGTCGTGTCATTTTACGTGCATTCTTATCCTAATATTAGTTCGTTAAATTTATTTAGTCAAGAAGCGAGAGACGTAATTCACATGTCGTGGTAGATATAGAAAATAAACGTGTCTACGATATCGATATTAAGTAATAGAGTTGGCAATTTCTCAATAGAATTGTCTACGGATAGAAAACTAACTATCGGTTTAAAGTACCATAATCATTTTGCATCAACAACTGACAGTTTACTAAAAAAGAATTTCCGATGTCTCGTTTTCTCTCGATATTAAACGACGCAGCTCCTTTTCGTTACATTAATTAGCACGTACGGCGATCAGTAAAGGAAAGTTCCCTATTATGAGATAGGACACTAATATGAAATAGCAGGTTTTCAGCATTCAAATTTAATCGCAAATCTTCTTTCGCGATCACACGATCTAACAATGAATTTTTCACAAAACAGATCTGGCTCTAAGAGCAATAAATTCATGGTGCAGCCAACAGTCTATTAATTCAGTAGAAACCTCGCTATCTCATAATAGGTGACTTTTTCCTATGTAATTTACGTAGCATTTCTACTACTATTATGTAATCATCTAAATATACTTGGGCATACTGTAACTTTGCCTTTAATGCTTTTCTTGTTTCCTTATTCACTTAAATCTGCGCTAATCCCAATCTTTAAGTAATAAAACGAACAATCGAGTTTGCAATTGTTAGCTGTATGTATATAACGTAGAGCTTGGAAATGACTTTCGAGTCTCGACGCGAAATAAATTAAAATCTTATGCGCCAACCTTAAAGTGCACTCTTTGGAAACTTAATGGCATATTAATAAATCATTTAGGAATTGAACTGGTGAACGCGACTTAGAGCTTTTATTACTTTCAGAGTAATCAAGGCGAAAAGTACGACTGCTGTTATTCAGAAAGTTCGGCTCTCGCGAAAGGTAAAGCTTTTCTCTGTTGGTATTGAATCTTGTGTAGAAAACGAGAATTGAATACTTCTTTCCTTACTTTTCATTTTAGCCTATAAAATTCTTGACGTCGATCACAGATTATCCCAAAGATATTTTTTACAGATTTTACCACTTTTTCATTAGTGCAGCAACAAAATTAAATTCCTTAGATAATAAAATTACCTCTGGTTAATCCCTTTTTCCTTGTTTGAGACTCAATTTCAATAATCGGGATATCAGATTGTCAAGTATAATAATCGAGATCGAAATTATATTAAGTTGAGAATTTTCATAATACATTTATTAATTATATTCTAATCTCTCATCGATAAAGTGGGATGCCGAACTAAGTTAGGGCGCGTTTCTACCCAATCTTTTGGGAGTTGATTGAGCTTGTAAATCGCATCTCCCGCTATCGTCGAATCACTATAAAGTACTCAAGTTCTGTTCATTCCGGAACGCCCTGCCTTTCACTAGCGAAGCTGCAACGATACGCTTTGGAACGTTCCGACTGCTCGTGTTCTGCTCTAGTTCGATCTCGCGCGATACATTACTGTTCTAAGACACGCTTTAGTAAAGCGCATCGCGCATTTCCGTGATTTAATTCCTGCATCTTTTCACGCTCGCAGGTCCATTTTGCATTCATTACACCGAGCAGCAGCAACTTTGTCGTTTCAATAAGAGTTGCTCGCGTCTTAAAGTACCAAATTATAAAATTATTAAACCCCTCAAGCGAAATACAGAAACATAGACTTATTAAGATTCCTCTACGCGCATCTGCTGGCATACACGCAACGCTCTTCTGACATAAGTGAAAAAAAGTATTGCGTAAATATGTAAATTTTCTATTTCGTAGTTATTCGTCGTGCAGCTCAGAAAAATATGGCAAAGTAAAATGTAAATTTATAGTAAACGTTCAAAATCGACTTGCACTGCATTAACTCGTGAAGTGTACGCGATACGCAATTTCGATAAGCAGTGTTACGTTTGCGCAATAATGTTCACGTGACTAAATAAGTAACACATAATATAAAGGTACCCAGCAAAACTGAACGCTTTCCGAACTTCGCTGCGTACGCTGCATATTTGATAAGAGCATATTTTACATATTCTGCATATATTTCGTCTTGTAGAACGCAATAGTAAATCACGTAATTCTCTGTCGGACATGCCGCCATTTACCCGGAGTACGGCGTTATGGTAATTCTAGGGATGTGCAGATCACTGCTTGTTGAGACGCTGAATGAGGTTTCAACAGGAATCAAGTAGTTCCGTACAAATGTTCCACCCTTTAATAATTTAATCCAGTTATTGGAAGCACCGAGACCTTAGTCAATCAGAACTGTATAACTGCAGGGCTGTTATTT